AAGCTTCACAAAAGGAATAAAAAACAAATGCTACAGAGCCTTGATCTCAGACGCATGATCATTTTTAAAAGGGCAATATTATGTGTTTTTCAGGCATACATTTCAATACTATACCATAATAAAGTATCTATGCCACCTTTAGTTGTTATTAAAAAAACTTTTTTATGTTTAAATAGTAAATAAACTCATCTTCTCATCACTTCCTCTTCTAAATGCCTTGAAATTGGCCTCTGTCTCTTTAAGAACCACCTTCCACTTCTGTCTCATCATTGTGGTTTACTTGGCATCTGAAAATACATTTCCTCAAAGGTATTTTGAATCTGAAAAGAGCTTCACTGAGTGAGAAGTAGTGTTAAGAGCAGCAGACAGTTTAAGTTTCACTTTCACTTTCACTTTGCTCTGTTACTGCCAAGATCCTGCAGGAGTCATGGGCGGGGTGTGTGGGGTGGGGGGTGGGGAGGTGTGCTCCGTGATGAGGAAGTTCGACTTAAAGACACGTCCCAGGGGCGTTTCTGGTCCCTACCTGTCGTTTTGCTCCTCAGCGTGGCTTCCTAAAAACGCTGAAGGATTTCTCAAACATGCATGAATGAGTCAAAGCAAGGCTTTGGGCAAGTTTTTTATGAGAGTATAACATTATAACATGATATAAAACTCAAAAAAGGTGATTTTAACATGATATTGTCCCTTTAAGCAGAACACAGATAATAGGCTTGGAGTGCAAGACAGAGAAAACTCACAAAAGAAACGGAAAGAGAGAGGTTTAACACTGTCTATGCCGACAGACAGGCCTCAGTTCATTTGAAAACTAAAGCTGTTTCTTTCCATCACTCAACTGTTCATTAACACCAGCTGGTCCTCTGGGTCTCTCCCTGCATCCTAGTCCTGCTCTGCAAATCTATCAATATCCCAGCAGCACAATAGCACACCCTATTCTAGACCAGTGCTTTAAAAAAAACTGACCAGAACTCCGCAGAGTGTTTACAAAGATCTCGATCTCAAAGATGGATACTAGTGTGAACGCATGTGCCATGTGAATACTTTGTTGACGGTGGTTTGTTTAACTGGTGACTAGGAAARAGATGAGATTAACATGGATGACTTAACACGAACTCAACTTGCAGACCACACAGTGCTCTGCTCAGTATGGGTAAAAGGTTCATTTTTCTCAAAATTAACCTTGTCAAACTCCTGTTCTGCCTGGGGGAGATTTGTATTAGAATTGTAATTTTTCAATCAGAGATTGGAGAGTGTGTGAAAATTTAACGCGCTTAGTCCCTCACAAGCCCCCTCCACCCCCATCTTCCCCTCTTTTTAAACTCCCAGTTTCTCACCCTTTTCTCCTTTACTTATAGACCTTTTAGACTTTTAAGCAGATTTATCCATCCTTACAACAAGCCCCTGCCTGAGTACAGTGTTTGTGTGTACAGTGTTTAGTATACACAGCCAGCATTATTCACTATATCAACTCGAGCTCGGCACATTCTGCTATTCCAGCAGAAGAGTTTTGCTAGGTCAAAATTAATTACAGAAACTGTTAAGCACACACCAGCTGTTGTAAACAAATGCAAACATGCTTTCATTTCAAACAAGTCCCCTTATCTCGCCACACACAATACTATGCATCTTGTGCATATTTACAAACAACTTGTGTCATCATCAAGCTGTGCTAGCACTCCAACTGAGAAATTACTCCTATTCATGTGCACCCAGTTGCAGAAAAGCAGTCACCGGTGCTTTAATTAAAGATTTCCTCAAGGTGGATTTGTAAGTTTGCTTGTTTTGCGGCCCCCTTTTTGAACCTTTGTTAAATAAAACTTTGACAAGTTTACCATTCTTTGGCCAGACTGTTTTGGTGGGTTTCCTTTATTATGGTCTATCATCTAGTTTGTAAACTAGTTTAGCAGGCCAAAAAATAAACTGTATGATTTTGGCTCGTGCAGTTTCCATTATTGTATTTATGTTTAATTTGACCGAACTTCTGATATGGTGTAACTGAAGGGAAATTTATTATTTTGCACAGATTTTAAAATGTACGTCTCACAGAGGCGATTGCTCTAAGATTGCAAGGGAAGCTCTGCTTCCCCTAAACTGTAAAAAAATAAAAAAATAAAAAAAGATCAAATATATACTGTTGTGTGTACATGTCATTGACTAAATATGTGCTTCAACGCACTCAACTTTTGTTCAGAATCAGCTTCTTATCACTGGTTTCTTATCACGCGGCTTTCCTCTCCCTCATTCCTGCAGCTTCACGGTGCTTTAAACAGTTGGACGCTCAGCTTCCACAGAGCTCATTAGCGATGCAAAGACTGCAGCGAAACGAGACGAGTTATTGGATAAATGCTGGCTTTGCCCCACCCATCGGACGCTGAGCATTTCTGGGGGTCTATGGAGTAGTGGGCTGGGTCGGATGCTCAGCGTCTGCATGATGATTGGATGATTTGTCGGAGGCTGAATCTCTTTTTGGTTGACAGCGAAATGAGCGAATCAGCGATCTTTTAGTGTAAACTTCCATGGAAGCATTTTTTTTTTACTTTTGTTTCTGTTCTGAGTAGAAGCGGAGACTTTATTAATCCTTTTAGCAGCATTTTCTTTGTTAAAAACGACTAGCAACAAATCAAACTTCTATTTCTGGTGGTTGTTTTGTAGCTGCTTGTGTTTGGAGACATTCTGACTTCTGTCACAGTTTCTGACCAGCGGGGGCTGCGGAGCCCCTTCACCGTCACAAAGCACTCACACTTCACACTAGCCTCGCGCCACTAACAAGCTGCACATAATGGCAGTTTGAATGTGGTGGACCGGATTTTGGTGAAGCCATTTGATGGTCTAGTTTACAAAGAAAAACTTAGAGTTAAACAGCAGGGCTGATCAACTCCTCAGATTCATTTGGTGAAAAAGGTGGGGAAAAGTAACATGTCTTTTCAGCTGTACTGGTATGACAAAGTGAGCTGGCTGCTGTAAAAGACTATAGAATAATCTGGAAAATGATTATAAAAGCATTGGRTCAATTAATTCCTTTAAAAAATCATCAAAGCAAATTTGTTAAAGAAATATGAAATTGTTTAATTTGTATGAGTCACTGTTTGAGGAGTTGATTTTTTTGTTTTGTTTTATTATCTGGTTTATGGTTTGAAATTAATAGGTTTTTTTTGTAAAGAGGAGCAGATTTACGCTATTTTTCTTCTTTTGCAGCCTTTCATTTCACTTTATTTGTATTGTTTTGTTGTTTGTAATGTTTTGTTTTTAAAAATGAAATGAATAAATACTATGAACTAAACAAAATGATCTGTGACAGGGTCACAGATCATTTTCTTGAAAAGGAACGGAGGGTAGAATTTATAAACCGACACATTTTATGACGTAGGCCGAAACTGAGCTTCCTTTTGTTGAAAGACCAGCATCTGCCACTGACTTCTCATGTAAAAGTTCTCATTGAGATGCCTGCCCATTTTTTGATAATCARCTGCATAAATACACATTTTGTACTGTGTGATTAAGCTGTGATTAAATAGTAGTGTGAGCTCTGCTTTGAGTGACTCGTGATATGTGTCATCTCAGAACAGACCATACTTTTGAGGGACGGTTTAGATAAAACGTGCCTCACACTAAACAAACAGTCAAACGTAGTTTTTTTTTTTTTCATTAGATTGCAGAACTTGCGTTTAAGGCCTTCCATATCAGTGACGTCTTTTCCACCAAAGCGAGCGGTTCGGTCAGAAGGTGGTGTTTAAGAACCTGGTTCTTGGCCAAAACTTCAAAACTTCGACCGGCTCTGTTTTGATCCTGCTGTAGTTTGTGTAAGACTTTTATACTCATTTGCAATTATATGTTTAAGTCTAAAATCTGAATTTGTCTCCTGTTTCGTTTCAACCTGTCAGTAAAAACACAGTTTCTTACCAACTGTGGTATTTCAAGCACCTACCTGCATTAAAAGAGATCTGTATAGCGGAATAAAAACTGACAAAAAGTACAGCAATACTATTAAATATATTTTGATCATATTTAAAACTGCATTATTCTAGAAAATGGAGGCGTGTAACTGCAGCATGAGACTATTTTAACAGTTCCTTTAGTTATATATTCATTGTCCCCATGTGTTTAATGGCTTTCCACTCCCACACTGATTCTTCCGGCTGGTTATCTGATCTGTTTTGAAAGAGGCCAACCAAACTGTTAGAAAGGCCACCTGCACTCAGCCATCCAGTCCTGCCATTTGGCCATCCTGTTTCCAGACAGCACAGTCATTTCCCAGCCCAGTGGAGCAGCAATCCCTGACCTCTGCCTCGACCCCCGTCTCAACAGGACGAGCACCAGCACCAGCTGCAGTCCAGAGAGCCAGCTTGGGCCACCTCTACTTATTTATGAGCCATTTCACACAGTCCTGCTTCCATTAGAGACCCAACCACAGCCCCACCTTACATGGCATGCTCATCACATTTAACACACAGAGTACACCATCTGAGACAGGGAGACATGGCTGGGCGGTGGCAAGAAGTGAGGACCATTAAAGACGAAAAAATGACCACATACATACTGTTGTCACAAAGACAGCAAAACGACATCACAATTTGAAATGTTTAAAATACCAATCTGAACTGTGATTAATAAATGTTGTGTGCTGAAAGCAGCTAAGAAACCAGTCACTACTTTCTTGTTGACTCTTTTCTGTTTGGTTTTTGAAACGTGTGAGAAATGGCTATTTGGCTGTCCTTAGAAACTCTGACGTATTGATTCAGCTTATCGTGAAGAACAACTGATAAACCCATTAGATTGCAAGTACAAATTTTCTTAGTTTTCATCTATTTCTATGATTTCTTTGCCTTGACAAAGCAAGAAACAAGCTAAATCTCTTCAGTATAAAAACAAGCTTAAAGAGTTGTTTATGTAAAAAAGACTAACTTAAGAAAACTATGTGTATGCAAATTGTTGGTAAAATGTAGCTGTTCCTTTTTTCATGACTTGGGGTGACAGTTAAAAGAAAGAGTTACAAATCCCCTCACCTGTGATTGTGGCGAAGACAAAACCCTCCTCACCAAGCAGTGGGTTGATTAGTCGGCAGTTGTAGGTGCTATTGGGCTCCAGCACAACCGACAGCACACTGGTCACTGTGAACAGCCCTTCCTCGTTGGCCACGAATGACAAGGTGATATTGTCTGTCAGATTGCGTCCACTTCCATCCTGCCATATAACGTAGCCCTCAGGATACCCTCCATATGCTACACAAGTCAGGGCCACCTCGTCACCTGGTCGCAAGTTGGATTCAGGCTCTAAAGTCAACACCGGCTTGGTGTAGGGAGCTAGAGGAAAAAAGAACCGGAACAAGGCGAAAAAGACAAATTAAATAAAAGTGAGGAAGAATAGGTGAATATATGGCCACGATAAGAGATCAGCAGCTCTCTGAATTCACGTATTTTAAGGTTTTCTTGGAACAAAAACAAAACAACAAAGAAAGAGGCTGGCAGAAAGGACTTTATAGCTACGAGAAATGAGCCTGTGGCACTGAAGGATATAAACTGATTTGAAACATAGAATATCCAATAATGGGCAGCCTAAAATCAACCAAGTTTGTCCCTTCTGGACACAAATATTTTATCTTTAGCATGCAGATAAAAAAAATAAAAAGAAAGTAACTTTTTTTAACACCACATAATACACCTATTTCCTGGGAGAATAGTGAAGCAATCTCACAACAGATATACAAATGTGAGAAAGAAGAGAGGGCAAACATTATCATTATAAATAACTAAAAGCCTCTCAGCTGTGAAGGTGGGCGATGTGGTTGCACACCACCGAAGATGTTAGTGATGGTTGATTGACCGTGACAACAGCTAATAATCAAAGTCAGCAGATATTGACCATGACAGGAACCACAATCAGTGGTTATTGACAAAAAACAATCCTCAGAAACACAGAGGAAGATACTTATCACCTGTTTACATCTCATGAACAGAAAACATTTTACAACTGATACACTTGTGTGTGTGTGTGTGTGTGTGTGTGTGTGTGT